CGCATAGCCTTAACTGGTTTGGCTCAGTGGATAGAGCGTCGGCCTGTGGACTGAAGGGTCCCAGGTTTGATTCCGGTCAAGGGCATGTACCTTCGTTGCGGGCACATCCCAGTGGGAAGCATGCAGGAGACAACTGATTGATGTTTCTCTCTCATTGATGTTTCTAACTCTCTATCCCTCTCCCTTCCTCTCTATAAAAAAATCAATAAAATGTATATTTTTTAAAAAAATACATTGTTGTCCTGGCCGGTGATCTCAGTGGTTAGAGCGTCGGCCCATTCACCGAAGGATCAGACGTTCAATTCCTGATCCAGGGCACGTACCCGGGTTGCAGGTTCAGTCCCTAGTCTGGGTGTGTGTGGGAGGCAACCAATGTGTCTCTCTCACATATTTCTCTCTCTCCCTCCCCCCTCCCTCCCACTCTCTCTAAATAAAAATCAATGGAAAAATATCCTCAGGTGAGGATGAACAACAACAACAAAAATACATTGTACGACTATAATAAAGTTGATTATAAGGCTTGTACCAGATACATTTTTGCCTTATACTAGTATGCCTTGTTAGGTAGTCAGTATATAACTAAAGTTCATTATAAGATTCTGATTACTTTATAATAGCTGTAATAGGTATCTATATGTGAAATGAAACAGCATACAAAATACAAGTAGCCCCAAATTTCCCTATTTTCTCTAATGGACAAAAGAAGTAAAGATTTAAACTCCGGCCAAGTGGCTCATTCAGCAGGTTGGTGTTCCCATAGGGCCTTTTTTTGGAGGGGCGGGGGCGGGTTAACCAAACCTCACATTCTTATCTTAGATCAGCCTCTGATCTTGGGATTGATTTAGGGTTATCTCTGGGGGAACTGTGAAGTAACCAAAGTTTGGTGTGCTCCAGGTTACTTTGGCATCTACTTCTTGTCTCTGGAATTCTTTTTATCCAGGTCCTCCTATTGCTATTTCCTCTCCAATCACATCCATTATTTACACATTAGTGGGACTTTGACCCAATAGACTCCCCTTCTCAGGGATATTTGCATGTAATACCTTATTTCCAACCGCGAATGTAAAGGTTTGTTTCTGGTCTTTGAGTTTGGCTCTTACGAGCTAATACACAGCTCTTGGGGAGGAGAGGGGCGGCCCAGGCACCTTCTCTTCATGTTGCATGTTATAAATATGTTTTCTCAGTTGATGAATATGGCCAGCTCCCAATTTACTGTCCTAATTAACTGCAAGTTCTGAGGTCAAGTGTACTCTGTGCACACTCAGATCTTGCACAGGTTCACACATCTAAGTGTGAGAAAGGGCATGTAGGTGGCAAAATGTGGACTTTACTAATTAGGAAAAGAAATGCATGCCATTCATTAGGAATAAATTACTACACTCACTTTCTATGCCATTTTTATTGCTTCTTCATAATGAATCTCTGGAATCAGATTAAACCAGGAAGTTTTTATTTTCTTTTGTCTTTTTTTTTTCTTCTCCAGTTTGACAAATGGACAGACTCTCAGAGGAGAAGAGTCCTGACGGGCCTGTTAGAGCGCTGCTCCCTGTCACAGCAAAAGTTCTGCTGTCGAAAGCTTCAGGAAAAAATTCCAGCAGAAGCTCTGGATTTTACTACCAAGCTCCCAAGGGTGTTGTCCTTACACATCTTTTCCTTCCTGGACCCCCGAAGCCTTTGTCGTTGTGCACAGGTAAAGGCAAAGAAGCAGTGTGGGGCATTTTGTAAGAACAGCCTGGGAACTCTGGAACTTGAGAGGGGGAAAAAGCACATCCTAGTATAGCAGGTTCAACATCATTTTGTTTAACTTAGTTTTGTTACAATGTTGATGAGAATCTGTAGGAACTTAACTCTTGTTTATATCAGCCTAGGGAAAACCGGTTTCGTTACATGTCATTTCACTTAAAGTTGCAGAATCTATTGGTGACATTAAGTGAGGACTTACTATGCACAAAACCAATAAATGGCGTGGTCAGTATGTTTAGTCTGTATAGTTTGGATTCACCCCTGTCTCAGACACTTTGTGTCTCACTCTCTATTTGGTGCTCAAAATGGAAAAAAAGTATATCATTAATGTCCACACACAAAAAATTGCTAGGTGGTGAGGCAGACACCCAAAGAAGACATGCTTCATCAGCAGGACCGTCTTACATTGCATAGCTACCATAAAATCCTAAATTGTACAGTGCAGGCCATTCCTAAAGAGAAAGGCTCAAGGAGAACCGAAGATGGCGGCATAGGTTAAAG